CAGGTTTGGTTTCACTTTTCTTCCTATTAATATGACAATAAGTCAGTTCTATCTTCTTCCTAGAGTATAAGTGCTCCATTCTTGCAAGCATTGTGAGATGGGGTCTTAGTGCACAGGCCTTTGTGTGTGCACGTGACAGAATGGGGAGGGACACATCAAAGGTTAGAATACTTGTAATTTTGTTTTTAATCTTCAAATTTGTGCATGTTGATAGCACTGACCTAACTTCAGCTAGCTTCATCACAAAGCTTTATTTTGTGACAGAGAAGGCAGAGCACTGATGAGAAAAAAATCCCCCAAAAGGCCACCAGCAGGGTTATGACATGATTATATGGCCTTTTTGTTTAAAATAGAAAAAAACCTCTTTCTCCAAGTGGGAACACACCAATACTAGAAGGTGGATTGGGGTGTAAATGATTAGATCCCAGGTTTCACTTTCTGCAAGCGGCTGCCCCTATGCACAGCACAATCTGAACCACCATAGCAGTCCTATGCAGAAGACAGTAAAGGGATTAGAGTGGCCTCAGAATCAAGGAGGAATACTTCTTCCTTGAAACAAACTGGCCTAATCATTGCTGAATGTGTGTGCACACGTGTATGTATGTGTATTTCCTTAATATAAATTATAATAATAATATGGTAACAGGCATACTCTGTATTGGAAATTACTGTCTTATATCTCATCTTCTCTGTGCCCCATTAAACAGATATTTTCCAACAAGACCTTGCTCTTACCCTTTCAAAACCACAAAATTCTGCTCTGGAAAGCTAGAAGACAAAAAAAGCAGAAGAAATTTCAATTTTTGCTTTATGTCACAGACAGTATTTATGGCTAGTGATTAGTAAGAAAGTAATTTGCATACTTTTAATTCTCTGGCTGATGGATAACGAAGATCTCCACTTACAAAAAGACCCAAAGAGGTGAGGAGAACTAAAAAATGATTTGTCAAAACCATATCCGTCACTGAGAGTCCTGTGTATTCTAAAGGAAGAAACCATATCATGGGTTAAAAAGTTAAAAACTAAGCATTTTGGCTAAGCAAAGACATTTCACAATGAACAGATCAAATGTTAAGATATAAGGAGTGAGCACATACACAATGAATGTTTGAATGTTAAAAATGTAGTATAGTTCTAGACATTGCCATTAATGCCTGTCAAAATATTCCCGCTCACTTTAATATGATTATGTCTTTGTCCCTGCTGCTTTCTGAGGAAGTTCTGGAGGTCCGCTTTGATGAGAATCTTTACCAGGTATGATGAAAAATCATAGTGACTGCTGCTGCTCACTGCCATGTATTGGAAGGGATGTCGTATTGTACTATTACAGTGTGTCCTCATACACTTTACTTACTAGATCTGACACCATGTGACTTCTGGCTTTCCTCCCAAAAGACAAAATGGCCAGAAAAGGTAAAAATTTTAAATTGATTCAGGATGTTGAGGCAGCCAGGAGAGTGCTACTAAAGACACTCAAGAAAGGACTTCAAAAATGGCTGTGAAAGTGTTAAGAACGATGGAACAAGTGTGTTTCATAAGTGAAATGCTGAAGATGAAGGCAGTCACAGAATTACCTCTTCGAAGGTTTGAATAGATGACATTTGTCATGTTGTACCACACTGTATCGCTATAACGCCAAAATCCAGACCTGGTTAGGCCTATGTAAACACCTACCAGGAAAGAAAAGGAAAATTAATGATTGGCGACTTTGCAGAGCTAATCTTTCCATTCTCCTGTGTTAGGCCTTTGGAACAAAAGTGTGAACGTGCCCCATTTTTAACCCACTCTCTTTGCTTTTATCATTGGAAATAGGGAAAGAACACTGTAATTGTTGGTTGATTGTGTCAACTTGAGTAATACAAGCTCAATTAAATTGACTCAGTAATTCCACACTCTGGGGCAGCTCATTACATGGACAGAAAAAGGGGAGATGAAGAAGGATGGATCTGCTTCTGTTCCTTGGAGGAACTCCACTCTTTGCCTTCATCTCAGACATCGTCTCCTGGCTTCTGTGCAGACTTTCAGCTCCAATGCAGATCCTTCAGGCTTCTCTCACACATGCTTCAGCCTTCCACCACAGACCCACCGGCCTCTTGATAAGGATTTGCATGGATCACGGCAGGGGTCCAGACCCTGGACTAAATCCTTTGGTCTCCAGTGTGCAGACAGATGCTCTTCCACATCCAACTCTGTGGGTGGCCACTGTAGCCCAGGCTTGTAAATTCTTATATATTTGTGTATCTTGTATTATATCTGTTTTTCTAGTAAACACTGACTGATACAGGCAGTAAGACTAGTTTGTGTGAAACATACATTTCCTAGTTTTTTCATTACAACTTATTGTCTGTTAAAGAACAACCCCTTTCTTTTGTCAAAATGATAAACTACTAGTTTGATCATTAAAATTATTTCTTTTTTATGAATTTGTGTTCATGTAAATATTAACAAAATTATTTGCCTTTTCTTCTGTTAATCTTTTGTTAGTTTAATTTATAAACCCCCCCATTACTGAGAATAACTGTGTAGAGGAATTTTTACCTCCCTGACAACATTCTTTCAAATGTGAAGATGCTCCTAGCTCAGAAGTACAATTTTAGTCAGCAACAGAAGAATCTCAAAGAAGAAAATTAAAATATAAACTCCAAGAGGGAAGGGACTATGATTTACTTTAATATTTGCAATTATAAAATAGGAAATTTATTTGCAAGAGTCTTATGGGAACCTTAAAAAATTTAAACATATAGCAAGTAATGAAAATACTTTATCCCCCAATCCTTGGCCATACCTGGGATTGTTGAGGCTTTGGTATTTTAAACATGGAATGTTAGTGTTATATTTTGTCAGCAGGCATAACTACTGAAAAAGAAAGTGGTAAAAACACTTAACCATAGAATGCATGTACTTTGTTTCCATAAGATAAATATTAGGCAAGTCACATTTTGAAGTATATATTTTAATTCTCAGATATTTTCTGTATAAGTTGTAAAAAGGAATGCTATTATTGTCTACTTTTTCCAAGAGGAAAGCTTTGTCTTTCTAAGCCTTTCTTCTCTATTGTTAGAAATAACTATGAGATATTCTAAGATAGAATAATTATGGATGCTGAACATATTATATGACCAGACTCTTGCAAAGTTTAGAAATATTTAATGGTAAAATAAGCAATGAAAATAGTTTATGCTGGTTAGTATTTTTAGAACAACATTGATTTACATGTTACTCACTATGACAAACTCCTAATGTCCAAAATTGAATTCCAGGTTTATAAAAATTGATGTAGACACTGTGAGCATGACTTTTATTCTAATGGCAAAGGGAAGCTGCTGGAAGGTTTGAAGAATGGAAGCAATGTGAACTAATTGAAAAGAGATGTCCTTGTGCTTGTGAATATCACTTTGATGTCTGTATGGATGAAGAATTATAGTAGGGCAAGAATAGAAACAGGGAGACTATTTAAGAAAATTGAAGAGGACACCAGAACATGAAAAGATGTCCCCTGCTTCTGAATAGGAAGGATCAACTTTGTAAAAATGGGTGTGCTTTCAAAACTTTTATATAGATTCAATGTAGTCTCAATCCAAATACCAACATCACACTTTAAATATCTAGAGGAAATAATCCCAAGATGCATACAGAACCAGAAAAGACCCTGAATAGCAAAAGCAATGTTGGACAATAAAAGCAAAGCAGGGGGCATAGCATTCCCTGACTTCAGCTATACCACAAAGGAATATTGGTAAAAACAACCTGGTTCTGGAACAAAAACAGCCATGTAGACGATGGAACAGAACTGAGGATACAGAAACCTTCCCGAACATATTCAGCTGTTTGATCTTTGACAAAGGTTCCAAAAGCATATGCTAGAGGAAAGCTAGCCTATTCAAAAGATGTGGTGAGAAAACTGGTTATCTGTAGGAGAATGAAACTGGACCATAATCTCTCACCACATACTCAAAGAAAAAGGGCTGAAAGATTTCAACCTTAAAAGAGAAACATTAAATCTCTGGAAGAGAAAATGGATAAAACACTTGAAGACAGGTGTAGGAAAGGATTTTCTAAACAGAACCACAATTGCATAAGAAATAGCAAGAATCAACAAATGGGATTTTATCAGGCTAACCAGCTTCTGAATAGTATAGCACAAGAATTAATCAGGAGACCGAGGGCCGCGGGGTCCTGAACAGACCC